GGGATCCGGTGTTTTCAGGCACCCAGCTGAGGGCCGGGTTTCTTGACTATCTCACCCACACCGGAGTTTACAGCCATCGACTAGGTTCCCACCAGTCCGCTTGACCGGGAATGGGGGATAGGGCGGAGGGAAGTGGAAAGCTTCCGAGTCGTGGAATCCCTTCGAGGAGCCAGATTCTAGGGGCTTATCAATTCCACACGGGTTACCACTCCCGCTGTGGCTGGGATGGCCCTTACTCGGCACGCTTTCGCCGAGGATCGAACCTTTGCCCCTGGGACCCCAGTGCCGAGTCATCGTCACCCCCGGTCCAGTGGGACAGCGTTAACCACCAGACCGTTCGTTCATCCACGAAAGTGCCACGTTTAAATGACGGGTTTAAGTACAACTCCAAGAGTTCGACGGGGCTCAGAAAAATGTGACTGGGATGGGAGATTCGAACACTTGACTTGTGCCGCACGGGGCCGACTCTCTACCGGCACGGCTACGGTGCCATAATGTGAGTGGCCGGGTGAGCTAGGCTAAAGGCACGAGACTTCGCAGTAGCTTGAGCGGGAGAAGAACCGGTTCCATCACGACACCCTCTTACCTGGCGTTTCGAGACCGGTCTCGTGGCTCTTTGACATCGCTGCTACATTTGAACTGTACACTCTAAATGTCTAAGGACAATTTTTGTAACTAGCACCGGACTTCTGTGTGCATAACTAGCTCAGATACAATATTGTAACTACCAACACACATTTAGTGACTAGCAAATCACAATATTGTATCGGAATCCAGTTATGCACGCAGAAGTCCGGTGCTAGTTACAAAAATTGTCCTTGACATTTAGAGTGTAAGTCGGGGGTTCTAATACTCGACGCACCGTCAAATTATTCATTTTTAAGTTTGAATTTTTACGCATCGTACCTGGTGTCCCGGCACTTACAAGCCAGTACGTTGGGTTGCCTATGCACTGGCAGCAAGGGCTGCAGGCGCGGGGCAGGTGGCGGAGGAGTGGGGGAGCGTAGGCAACCCAACGTACTGGCTTGTAAGAGCCGGGACACCTGGGACGAGAAGCTCGACCAGTCGGCGACCCGCGCTGGGGTTCGAGTCCCACCTGGGACCCGGCCGGCTCGCCTTTTCTCTCTTTCTTTCCCACGCCGCGTTATCGTGAGCCTGTGTTCTATTCGGTGTGCGACGAGTGCGATCTCTCAGCCGAGCGCGTACAGGTGTCGGGGCGAGGACTCCCGGGCCATGCGTTCGAGCCCTGCCACCGGCGCCCTCGACGAATTTGCCGAGCTCAGGCAGCTCTCATAGCGAGCGCCTGGCAGGTAGGCAACATCTCGCCTTCAGTGCATGCGTGTACTGCGGGATGGCCTACCCTGAGTCTCGCAGGCGACGTAGTTGGGGGGTCTGCCGATAGATGGCGAGTGATAGTGGTGTGTGACTGACTCGACTGGACCATGGACTGGACTGGAACAATATAGAGGTCACTACACTACAATACCTTCAAATAATTGTTTTTATTTCTATGTTTATGAAAACATTAATGCCCAACAGGCTAACAAGACAGTGGCACATGTTTCCACACAAGACAAAAGCCCAAGTCAAACAGTAATTATTTGGGCATACATCAGTTATACCAGAACATAAGTAATATTGACTCAATGAAAGTAGGGAAAAAAGATGGGTACATTGATTGCTGAGTAATAAGAATTGATTTGAAAAATGCTGAACACCGAGAAAAAATATCATACAAGCACATCATGTAAGAGTGAAAGCTATTCAGTGTAATAATACCATTTAAAGCAGTGGATTTTACAGTTTTACTATCATTAAACGACGTGTGATAGAAGTGTGAAGTGTGTGCAGACGATTCAGATATTCAGAAAAGTGTCAAGTTTGGTCAAGTTCGAGAGGAAGAGATTACACAGAATTCCTAGACCCCACATAAAATTACAAGCACACCACAAACATGCAAAACCCAAACGAAATGTCATTACTAACACCACATAAACACACTCCACTACGATGCAAGAAAAGCAAGGCAGGAATAAGAAGTCATCGTCAAGAGATAGTCCAGTCAGTAGAAATGTACAGAGATGAAGGTGATTAAAAAGAAAACTGTTGAATGGTCCGTGTCGTCTTGTTGAGCCAGTTGAATGGCTTCCATCTGGTGAAACAGCAATGTAGAAATGCCATCTGGAACATGAATAGCAAATTACATGTTTCAGAAAGGAAAAGAAATCTGTCAGTTTGTGCTCCTATCCCACATAATTCTGATACTAGAATAGATAAACTTCAAATAACTTTTCATCAGTGGACCATAATAAACATTGCTGGGTTTTGAGGCAAATTTAAACATGACGCAAGTCTGAAACCATCTCCCCTCACAATCTGTTTCTGGTCTTAACTATATTTTCAGTGTTCAAAAATATTAATAAAGTACAACAGAAATGAGATTTTAAGCAATGAAAATTGTTTGAAATCCCTTAAACACACCCCAGACCACCAGTAGCAGAGAATCGTCACAGATCACCACATCGACATCAATTATTTGTCAATTCTCTGCTGCTGGGGCAATGAAATGTACTGAAGTGAAGCTATTCGTTACAATAAAAAACGAAAAGAAATAGGCCTATGTGAAAGTAAGGGAAACATGGTTGGGCAACTGTTGCTAAGATTAACAAACTCACCTGCTCACTGCCTCTTGTGGCCCTCGCTCGCACCAGTTCTGCTTCTCATCCTTGTGACAGTCACCTCCACACACGGGCTGTTCACCTGTAGGAGGACAAGCAAACTCACATTAACAACTTGCAACTGCTATCAAAATACTTTTCCTCTGACGGCAAAACATTTTGAAGAGAATCAATAGTTTGCATGTGAGTATGTTCAGGAGATCTCGGTCACTGCAAAGGATACGTTAGTATTGCAAACTGTTTTCTTCACAGCTTACAAAAAATTACGAAGTATTATAATACAATTATCCGCATGCTTGCCAACAGTTTCTTTGCAATACGAACTAGTTCTTTACAATGATATAAAGCTCAAAAATCTTTTGCAACCTTGCAAAGAATACAATTTGCAAACATTTTACTGTGTGAACCTAGGAAAAACTTACTTGTCTGTCTCTCTTTCTCCGGTTGATGGGGATGACATTGAAGGCAGCAGCGTTCATAGTAGGCTAAAATGTCGGGTATCGGGGGCGGAGCGGGTCGTGGAGTCTTGGTGTCCTCACCGGCTGCGGGCGGGGGAGGGGCGGGGCGGGGCGCGGCGGCTGCGGCTAGACCTGCAACACAAGCGGTTGTCAAGGGAGCAGCTCAATAGATCATTACACATCCCGGGAATAATACTCCCAAAGCACACCAACCAACCGTCTCATTCTCGGTGGCAGCAATAATCTGCTTCCCCCGCGGAGTGTCGGCGACGAGGACGGCGAGGGAGGGCTGGGGTGGTGTACCTGGAGGTCCTGGAGGCCTTCGCCGACCGCGGAGACTAGCTGACGGTGCCGGAACTGGAACGGGCCTGGAACAATAAAAGCGATTGGAGAAACGAACATCTGGCTACAGAGCAAACCACATTCTCTTCTCCCGCAGCTGAAACGGTGGCTCGCGTCGCACGCCCCGGGGCAGGCTGATTGTCCACGAACCAGTTATTTGCAAGCTTGCAAACAATTTCTTGCAATACGAATTCTCTGCAATACAAAGCTATAATTTGCAAGCATTTTAAAGTGAGCCTGAGCACAACGTACCGGTAGTCCTTCCTTTCTCGGTTCAAATGTCGGGCGTAGGGGCAGAGCGGATCCTGGAAGTCCTGAAGTCATGGTGTCCTGGCCAGCTGCGGGAGCTTCCTGCTGACCAGGGCGGAACTGCGGCAGTGTTGCGGGGACGTCCCGGGCAGGCCGACCGTCCACGGCGGGGGCGGGGCGAGGTGGGGCGCGCGGCTGGCAGAGCGACGGCCAGGCACGCCTCCCAAGAAGACTCTCTAAAAGGCACAAATTTACAGTAACATGATTCCAAAGTAACAGCGGAGCCGAAAGAAACAAGAAGCCACTAAATATGACAGATCAGAACCCCACCTGCTTGTAGGCGACCAAGAAGGAGCGGGTGGCGCACTGCTTGATGTCCCAGGGGCGCGTCCCAGTCGAACACAGTAGTGCAGTGCAGCAACAAGGCGGCCGAGGTCCTTCCTGGGGGGCCGAGTCATGAGTCGCGGCGGGGCTATCACCTGTAACGGAAGCGGGTGTCAAGGGAGCAGGTCAATAAATTATTACATATCCTGGGAATAATTAATCCCAAAGGACATCAACCAACCTCTTGGCTGTTTGCCCGCGCGGAGTGCCAGCACAAGTAGGGCGGGGCCCAGGACGGCGACGAGGACGGCGAGCGAGGGCTGGTGGAGTAGCTGGAGGTCCTGGAGGTCCTGGAGGCCTTCGCCGACCGCGGAGACTTGACAACGAGGCCGGAACTGGAGCGCGCCTGGAACTGAAAAAGCAATTAGAGAAACGAACATCTAGTTACGGAGCAAACCAAAGTCACTTCTCCCGCAGCTGAAACGGTGGCTCGCGGCGCACGTCCCGGGCAGGCTGACTGTCCACGGCGAGGCGGGCGGCCGCAGCGGACCTTCCACGGAGACTCTGCAACATGATCACTCGAAATCAATAGGCAACCCCCAAAACATGAACAAGAAGCCACTAAAGATGAAGTCCACCCTCCACCTGCTTGTAGGCGACCAAGGAGGCGCCGGCGAGGCCGTCGTGACGCACTGCTCGGGGTCCCAGGGGAGCGTCCGAGTCGAGCAGCTTGGTGCAGCAACAGGACGGCCGAGGTCTCCACGGCCAGAGCAGCGGCGGCATGGAAGAGGAACAGAACAAGTTATTAGTTCGGTGCCGACGTGCGGTGGGAGTACGCCGTCACTTTGCCCTCGTGGTCCGCCGGTCACAAAGTATTACACTCGCCCGCCAGCCGCGGCCGACGCGCTGCCCCGAGCGCTGCCACTCGCCAGCCCCGCGGGGGGGAGGGGGGCCTACGGGGGAGACCCGCGGGTGCAGCGAGGGCAGGCCCAGCGTGGCGCGCCAGCCAACGGCCGAGGGGCGGCGTCAGGGAACGACCGGGGCCACTGCAAGCGGGCCAAACGTGCAACAAGGAAGGCTTGAGGGACGTACCTGTGGTCTGCCGACCACGGCCACGGCAGCATCCAGACAGAAGGTCCAGTTGTCGGCTGGGGAGCAGTCTCGGCGGGGCGCGGCGGGGCGGGCCGCGGCGGCTGGGTCCTGCAACAGAGGCGGGCGGTCAGAGAGCAGGTCAATAAATGATCACATGGACCGGGACTTCTCGGTTCCGAAGTACACAAACATACCTTCTCAGCGGCAAGAATCTGTTTGCCCCCGCGGAGTGCCAGCTGGAGCATGGCGGGGAGGCGCAGGCCGATCCCCTGAATCAGGCGACAGGGCGGAGTTGAGCAGAGCGGCGACGAGCTGGCTTGCGATTAGTTAGAGGGGGGCTTGGGGTGCTAGGGAGTCCTGAGCTGTCGGGAACGTTTTTTTCCCACATAGACTTTGCATGGGTTTCTAAGGCGGTGAGTCTCAGGACCCCCTAGCACCCCCGAAACTACACGCAAGCCTGGATGGGGTCGACGTTGAGCGGGCGGACGGTGAGCAGCAGTAGGGCGGTGGTGTTGAGCAGGGCGACGATGGTGAGAGGCGGCGATGAACTGGAGCAGGTCGATGATGAGCGTGGTGACAGTGAGCAGGAGAAGGG